TGGAAACCCACACTTCTTCCTTCTCCAGCCCCCAAATATACCTCCGTGCACTCTCCGACACCCCCAACCGCCCCCCCCGAAGCGCCGGCTCCATGTACACGTCATCCGAGGAAACCAGCCGGGCCCGGGCCCGCTCCGGGCCGACCATGAAGCGGAGCCTTCGTTGGCACGACCTCGTCGGTTTCGGCATCGGCGGCATGGTCGGCGCCGGAGTCTTCGTCACCAGCGGCCGCGCCAGCCGCCTCTACGCCGGCCCCGCCGTGGTGCTGTCGTACGCCATCGCCGGACTCTGCGCACTCCTCTCCGCCTTCTGCTACACGGAGTTCGCCGTGGAAATGCCAGTCGCCGGCGGCGCCTTCAGCTACATCCGCGTCACGTTCGGGGAGTTCCTGGCCTTCCTGACCGGCGCGAACCTGATAATCGACTACGTGCTGTCGAACGCCGCCGTGGCGAGGGGCTTCACCGCCTACTTGGGCACCGCCCTCGGCCTCTCGACCCGTACCCATTTAAGATTCACGATCCGTACCCTACCCGACGGTTACAACGAAATGGACTTAATCGCCGTCGCCGTTATTCTCCTCCTTACCCTCGTAATTTGTTACAGGTAATTTCCACATTTATTTTTTTATTATTAATAAATATATACACATAATAATTATAATTATAATTATTATTATTAATTAATTTTTACACATTATTATAATAATTATTAATTAATTAATACTCAGTTCCACAATAACTGTCTCTTTTTTAAAATATTTTTTTTACATATTATCTGTCACTTTTTATTTTCAATACTGCATTAAATGCATTTTTCCTGTTTCAACCTTATCAATGAAAGTCTATTCATTAATTTTCTCTTATAAATCATTAAATAATAAAGGTTGTTTTAGTCATTTTTATATGATTTTTCTAAAATGAAGATATATTTATTGAGTTTCTTAATCTTTGTGAAAAATGAAAAGTGACGATTATTTAGTAAGGGATGGAGTATATACACATTATTATTATTATTAATTAAATTTTTTTAATGGTCCTTGAAATTAAATAACCATGGTTAATTTGTCAAACAGTACGAGGGAGAGCTCGTGGTTAAACATGGTGCTGACGGTGGTCCACATTCTCTTCATAGTGTTCGTGATAGTGGTTGGTTTCTGGAGAGGCGAGTGGAAGAATTTCACCGAACCGGCAAACCCGAAAAACCCGGGCGGTTTCTTCCCGTTCGGAGTTTCGGGCGTGTTCAACGGAGCCGCAATGGTGTACCTCAGCTACATAGGATACGACGCCGTTTCGACCATGGCCGAAGAGGTGAAAGATCCAGAAAAGAATATTCCCATCGGCATCTCGGGCTCCGTCGTCCTCGTCACCGTCCTCTATTGCCTCATGGCCGCCTCAATGTCCGCTCTCCTCCCCTACGACATGGTACGCGAAATGACGATTATACCCTTGTTCTTTTCGACGTAAATACGTACGATTTTTTATTTTATTTATTTAAATGGCAGATTGATCCGGAGGCGCCGTTTTCGGGGGCGTTCAAAAACGGGTCGGCGGGGTGGAGGTGGGTGTCGAATATAATCGGAGTTGGGGCTAGTTTCGGTATTCTGACGTCGCTGCTAGTGGCCATGTTGGGGCAGGCACGGTACATGTGCGTGATAGGGAGATCTTGTGTGGTCCCCACTTGGTTCGCCAAGGTCAACGCGTCCACGTCAACACCGGTCAACGCCTCCGCCTTCCTTGGTACGTTTTTTCTTGCTTTCTTGGTTGGGGTGGGGGGTGTTCCTAGGTTAGGTTTGTTTATTCAGTCACATCACCAAATATTTTCCTACACTAAAATTGAAGAACAAAATAGTACCTGAATTGACTTTAGTCATTATCATAACATTTTGTCTTTAGTATAATTAGAAGATAGATTTTGATAATTTTCATATAAAGGAAGGGATGTAATCACTTTTATCTTTCAGGGATGTGTTGGTAATTAATCTAGGACTTTATCGATATAATCGAGATTTCTTTCTGCGGTCGTGCGTGGGAGTTCAGTAATTACTTCCCTATATATTTGTGTAGATGAACAAAGATTTTGATAATTCAAATAAAAAAATAAAGTGAAGAGATTTGAGTGGAGATTTTGTTTAAGGGTAAATTACAACCACCCCTGAGATATGGTCAAATTACAAAAACCCCCCTTTTGTTTGGGTAATTACAACCATCCCCCTCAACTATAAATCTTTTTACACGTCCACCCTTACGGTTTCAAATTTAGTGGAATCTTCGAGATTATATAGAATATTATCACTTTTGTACCCGTTTTATCCCATTCGAACTCCACATTTTGAAACAAGATGATTATAATATGTGTTTTTTGGCTTGTATATATCAGATTGTGGTGCATCAAAAACTGTATTTTTACACAAAACGAGTACAAACTAGAGCATATTACACGAAACCTAGATGATTATGTTGAATTTGGCACCATAAGGGTGGAGGTGTAAGAAAAAATCATAGTTGAAGGGGTAGATGTAATTATCTAAACAAGAGGAGTTTTTTCGTAAATTGACCATACCTTAGGGAGTTGGTTGTTATTTACCCTTTGTTTAATGATCATTGGTCAAAAGGGTCAAGGCTTGGTGTATTATCGCTAATCAATATAAATATTTTTTTCTTTTTTTGTTTTGTGGGACCTATATAATTTGATGTAAGATTAATAATAAGATTAATAATGCTAGAGTTATGTTGGATCAAATAAAAGAATTGCATGTGAAACAAGAGAAAAAAAAGTACTGGAGTCTACTGTTTTAGGGTAAATTACGGTCACCCCTAAGGTAAGCTCAAATTTATGTTTGGATAGTTACAACCATCCCCTCAATTATGTACTGTTTTACGAAAAAACTCATTTTTCAGTAAGTAAATTTGATACCGTAAGGTGAACGTATAAGCAGTGACGGAGCCACCCTTTGGCAAGGGTGGGCTCCAGCCCACTCTGAATTTTTAAAAATTTATACTATATATTTTATACATATATATATAATTAGCCCACCAAAATACTTTAATTTAATCCACCCAAGTAATTTAGTTTAGCTTATCCAACAAAAAAATTATGCTAGCATATTATTTTAAGTTTATAAATTTGTAGTTATTTTGTATTATTTTATGTGAATGAATAAATAAAAAAATCTACGTATAAGACAATACATAATTAAGAGGGTGATTATAACTATTCGAAAAAAGACTGTAGTTAAGGCATATATCAGGGATTTTAACTTATATTGCTTGGCATGTTATTTTCCTTTTTTTTTTTTCTTTTTTTTGAATTGAGGGATGAAAAATTGCTTTTCGCTTGCTAATAGTCAAACTAGGATCTAGCCAAAAAAAAAAAAAATAGCTACAGATTTGGGTCTTTTGACTTTGTCAAAAGAAAGATCAATGATTCTGGCTGGCTATACTACTGACTTAGAATAAATGAGAATGCTCTCTCTGCCTTAGAATTTATTCCTTGAAACTCATTAGTCATACATAACTTCACTTTTCAATATTTTGTCAATTAGCCCTGTAGTGTAGTAGGTATATGACCTAATACATTTTTGGTGGTTATATATAATACAAAATTGTGAAGATATATAATGATTTTTTTTTATTTTTTTTTTTCAGGAATATTCACAGCGGCAATCGCGCTATTCACCGATCTAAACATCCTACTAAACCTCGTCTCAATCGGCACACTCTTCGTCTTCTACATGGTGGCAAACGCCGTTATCTACCGACGCTACGTAAACCACGGCGCGACAAATCCATGGCCCACTCTCTCTTTCCTCTTCTGCTTCTCTCTCACTTCACTCATCTTCACACTCCTATGGCAATTCACTCCGTCCGGCAAAACGAAAGCGTTCATGCTCGGCTCATGCATTATAGTAGCTATATTCGTCGTACAATTATTCCATTTCATGGTACCTCAAGCCCGGAAGCCCGAGTTTTGGGGTGTCCCACTTATGCCGTGGATACCTTCGGTTTCGATTTTCCTTAATATATTCTTGTTGGGATCTCTCGATCGACCTTCGTACGTTCGGTTCGGGTTTTTTTCCGGTCTTACGGTGCTCGTTTACGTTATGTATAGCGTGCACTCGAGTTTTGATGCTGAGAAAAATGGGAGTCTTGGTGTTAAGGAATGTGTTGACACCCCGGAAAATGTTATTTCTAAAGTATGAAATAATTTTATTCCCTAGTAATAACTTTATAGAGAGAGAACATGCTGCAAAAGTATTTTTTTGTAGTATAGCAAATTTTAGGTATATAGTTTAATTTGGTATCCTATAGGGATTTTAGGCTGAGATGCCTTCTTTTGTATATTTAATTTTGTTCCAAAAAAAAAAACATTTTGTGCAACTTTAACTGAAAAAAGCATCAAATGCTAACGAAATTTCTTGTGATGTTGTTTACAATTTTGGTGTGTGGACTTTGTATATTCGATATACACACATGTATTAGGGTGGTATTCGAACGGAATTTTTCGAATTTCATCGATTTTGAACAATATTTTTTATTCCGAATTCTGAAAGTTATGATTTCTGATTTTTTAATAAAATTGGAATGCACATGAAATTTCGAATACCGATCCGGTTGAAAAATTTGCAAAACTTCAAAATAATAAAAACCAAAGTTACACCTTAAATATCAATATTATTACATATTTTATTCTATAGGTGACTAGAACTTGAAAATTTTTATTTTCACCGATTTTCAACTGTAATTTATGATTGCTGGAACAAGTTTTTTCATTCCAATTTTTAAATTTCGATTTCCGATAGTGGAATAAGTTTTTTAACAACAAATTTTTAAATTCCAATTTCTATTTTGGGATAAGTTTTTTCATTGGAATTTTCGAAGATCGATTTTCGGGTTTGAAACATGTTTTTCCTCTCCAATTTCCGAAAATCAGTTTTCGGGTTTCCATTTTTTTTTTGGAATAGAATAAGAAATAGTTTTTCACTCCCAAAAAAATTAGTTTATCTGAAAAGTGTTAATTTCGATATAATATAACTATCTTTGTTGAATGAGTCACTCACTCCTTTGAAGAATGTGACAGCAAACCCTGAGAATATTTAGTAGCATCTCCTTTCGGCTTTGGTATTTATTGTTAAGTCCCTAGATTCCTAATATTGGTGAAGAACCTCTTCGAAAAGCCGGGATTCTAGGGATAAATCGAAGCCAAATGTGGTTGAAAAGTGAGAATTAGATGTCATTACAACAATTGTTCTTTACTAGGAATATTTTTTTTCTCTCTAACCTAAGTATTCTTTGTCACTCATATCCTAGTATAATATTCTTCATCTACTATTATTATTATAAATGATTGGTCCTATGTTTGAGAATTATTTATGAATTAAGTTATGTGATCTAAAGTATAAACTTATTCTTTCGATTAGTGTTAGCCGTCGCTTCCATGCTCAAAGGCCAAAGCATGATAGAGAGGTCGAGTTGTACGTTTCTCATAGGACGAATCAAATTTGAATATAACTTTTTATATAAATAGTATGCACGGAATAGTATTTCAAAAGTGAAAGTTAAAGAATTAGTAGAGAAAAAATGATCAGAAAAAAATTATTACGAATTGAAGTTGTCACCGCTTTGTTGGTTTAGTAGTGGATTATGATTGAATTATAATCTCCTAGATTTGTTATTAATAATAATAAAATAATTAGAAAATAGGAGCCAAAAAATTGGAGACTAAAGAAAATACAAAACATGCTATAGTTAGCGTTGCGAGGAATATTCTAGTGTTTTTTTATAATGAAGGAACCCGCAACCAACTATATTCTAGCATTTCTTTCTTTTATATATAAGAAGATAAGATATAAGTATTAGCGTATCTTTTATATATATATTACGTATATTATTATTATTCCTATTTATTCAAGTTACCTTGTATAATAGGTTACCTTGTGTAGTTAGGATTAGGGTTTCCTACATGTAACTATATATATGATTAATATACGTGAGAGATAATTCACTCTCTCTTTTCTCCAAATATATTTCTCCTATATGGTATCAGACACTAGGTTAACCTAGCCATCACCATCTTTCTCCCCCTCTCGGCCGTCGCCCCTCTCTTCTCCATGGCCGGCGATACATCTTCTTCTTCTTCTTCCTCCACCGCCTCTCTCAATCCTTTTCACCTCGCCCATGCCATCTCTAATATCAAATCCCTTATCACCGTTACTCTAGATCTAAAAAATCCTAATTATCAAAAGTGGAGCCACTTTTTCACGATCACAGTCGGTCGTTTCAGCCTCTCCGATCTTCTCCATGGCAATCCCCGACCGGATTCGATTTCCGCCGACGAATGGCAGCGCGCCGACTATCTCCTCCAATCTTGGATCTACGGCACCATCTCCGACGATCTATCCAGCATGGTTCTCTCAAAAACCTCCACCGCCAGTGATCTATGGAACGCCATCTCTTCTCTCTTCACCGATAACAAAGACTATCGAGCCATTCAACTTGAAGAAAAATTCAAGTCCCTCAAGAAAGGCGCTCTCTCCATTCACGATTATTGCCAAATAATCAAGACCACGGCGGACAGCTTGGCCGATGTCGGAAACCCAATCTCCGACAAACAACTCGTTCTACAAACCCTACACGGCCTTCCGAAAAATTACGGGACCGTCGCCAATCTCATCTCCTTTCAAAATCCCCTTCCCACCTTTCTACAGACTCGTTCGCTCCTTCAGATGGAAGAAACAAGAATTTCTGAACCGGAGCAGACCGCTGCTGTTTTCTACGCCTCCAACGCGAACTGTCCATCCAACAGTTGCAACAGTTCCCGCGGAGGTAGTTCTTCGCGCTATCAGCGCGGGGGTGGCCGATCCAACCATCGCGGAGGTCGCATCACTAACCGTCACCCCATGCAGCACTACGGCTATCATAGTGCTCATGGCGCATCTCAACTTTGGCGCGCACCTTACCGACAACAGTCAATTCTGGGATCCGCTCAAAATACATCGGGCCACCCAGCGGCTCAAGCCTACTTTACTGGACCACCAGAACCCTACACCGGTCACTCGGCTCCTACTCAGGTTCATCCGCAGCAGCAACCGTGCCACATCTCTGGCAGTTCCATCAACAGTTGCAACAGTTCCTGCAACAGTGCCAACGTGGTGGATCTCGCACACCGTTTGAATACGGTCACACTTCAGCAGCCTACCGAGTCACAGTGGTTCATGGACAGCGGGGCGACCTCTCATATGGCACCACACTCAGGTAATTTCAATTTTGTTTTTAATCCTGGCAGTAAATTCCCCAAACATGTCGTCGTCGGTAATGGTTCCACCCTCCCCATAACCCACATAGGCCACACAATTCTTCCCACCACTCCTTTCCGCCTCACAAATGTCTATGTCACACCCTATATCGTTAAACACCTTATCTCTGTTCGAAAGTTCACCCGCGACAACTCATGTTCGGTTGAATTTGATCCGTTTGGTTTTTCTGTGAAGGATCTTCGGAGTCGAGTCGAGATTTTCAGGTGCAATAGCTCCGGTGACCTATATCCTTTTGGCGTCCCTCCCCCCACCTCACCTCCCGCTGCTTTCCTCACTGTCACAACACCTTCGTCTCGAACTCTTTGGCATCGGCGTCTAGGCCATCCCGGCAAACACGTCATGTCTCGTTTATTTTCTAGCACTTTTCTTTCCCATAATAAAGACCCTAGGGAGTCTCTTTGTAATGCCTGTCAATTAGGCAAGCATTTTCGTCTACCATTTTTTTCTCAAAAATCTACTACTGTTGCTCCATTTCAAATTATTCATGCTGATTTATGGACTTCTCCTGTTTCTAGTCTTACGGGTTTCAAATATTATCTTGTGCTAGTTGATGATTTTACCCATTATTTATGGACTTTTCCCCTTCGAAATAAATCTGATGTTTTTACAACCTTTGTCAATTTTCATACACTTCTCAAAACTCAATTCCAACATCCCCTGAAAGCCTTACAAAGTGATAATGGTCCTGAATTCAAAAATGCGGATTTTCAAAACTACTTCACTAAACACGGCATCCTAAACCGTTTTTCGTGTCCCCACACCTCCCCTCAAAACGGACACGCAGAACGAATGATCCGCACTATAACTAACATGATTCGATCCCTCATCTTTCAAGCCCATCTTCCCCCTACTTATTGGGTCGAAGCCCTTCATATGGCCACACACCTACTCAATATCTTACCTACCAAAACCACACAAAACCGGACTCCTCACGAAGCTCTTTACCTCATCAAACCTACATACTCTCATCTTCGAGTATTCGGCTGTCTTTGTTATCCCAACCTCACCGCCACCACACCACATAAACTCGCCCCTCGTTCTATTCCTTGTGTCTATCTCGGTCACCCTTCCTCTCACAAAGGCTATCGTTGCCTTGATAGATCCACTGGCCGAATTATAATTTCTCGTCATGTTATCTTCGACGAAACTAACTTTCCCTTTGCTGAGTCAACTCCCCCCAAAAACACCCCTCCTCCTTCTGCCTTGGACGAAAACACACCCTCCCTGTTCCTCCTCCCTCAGACTTCGTCTAACTGTTGCAACAGTTCGTCCAACTGTTCCAACAGTCCGTCCAACAGTCCCATAACACAGCCAACACCTATTTCCCCTGCAACACTACATGTCGACCACAACCAGCTCACAACCCCTTCTCCTACTCCCACACCTCCCCCACCTCCCCTTGCTCACCCTATGGTGACTCGCAGTAAAGTGGGCATCCACAAACCCAAAGTCCCTTTCTCTCTCGTTGCATCCTCTACCTCTCCCATTCCCACCAACTATCGTCAAGCTCTTCTTGACCAAAACTGGCGAAACGCCATGATTGAGGAATATACTGCTTTAATTAAAAACAATACTTGGAATGTTGTGCCCCGCCCCCCGTCCACTAATGTTATTTCTGGTAAGTGGATATACAAACAGAAACTCAAGTCTGATGGCTCTCTTGAGCGATACAAAGCACGGTGGGTTGTTCGTGGGTTTCACCAGCAGGCTGGAATCGACTTTGACGAGACTTTCAGCCCAGTTGTCAAACCAGCCACTGTTCGAACAGTTCTCAGTATTGCTCTCTCGCGATCATGGCCAATCCACCAGCTTGACGTGAAAAATGCCTTCTTACATGGCAATCTCTCTGAAACTGTCTACTGCGAGCAACCTCCCGGATTCGTCGATCCATCTCGCCCCACTCACGTGTGTCGTCTCA